TCCCATCCGCGCGATTATTTCCATACCGGTTGCGCGTCACGCTCGCTAGCGTATCGGAACGCATAGGGTTAATCGGTAGGGTAGTAGGGTAAGCATGGTACGGTAGCTAGGGTTAGGTCGGGTTAAGGTAGGTAGGGTAGTTAGGAGCAGCTCATCTAAAACCTCAATCATAATTTTATTATCCCAAGGCGTTATTCGAAATCGCGACCGCCGCCATCTTGTCCTCCGTAAGTATAAAGGCGATCAACATAAACACTCCAAAAAACGGTCTTGCTACGCGTAGAAGCCCTTGTAAACACATATCAATATCTTTAAGTAGTCGAGTACATAGGTTTAGCGACTGGTGACTACGCAAGGGCATCCCATACGCCCCAGGGGCGGACGCGCAACGGTACGAAAAAAAATCGCGGCGCCCCGGCGTGCAGGGAGTCACGTGGATAACGTGAACGATACAGTTCAAACATTCAAGCCCTAGACGGAACTACTCAACTCCAACACCGCCACTACTAACCCTCACACTAAATATTAGTTCGCCAGCGCTAATATATAGGCAGTTATTCACAAAAAATAAACTATGGGGAACAGATACATATGCAAAAAACCTAACCCTAGCCTAACCCAAACCCTAAGACCCTACCCTAATACAGCACTAACCTCTTAAATAAACAATTAAAATAAAAAAATAACCACAACCCTAACCCTAACCCTACCCTAACCCAATCCTAACACTATCCTAACACTAAGGCGCCACGTGCCGTCACCTCCTACGATATCACACCTGTTCCAAGTCCAGAGCAAAGCCAAGCACCAATCATGAGAACCCTTCGCGCATCTGGGGACAAAAAATGACGCTCCCGACGCATATTTCCATAACCGTGACCGCCAGCGCTCTGCATATGCGTACGGAAATCAATATGGTAGGTAGGTTAGGTAGTAAAGCCAATGGTAAAGGTGGGTAGGGGTTTAGGTTATGGTAGGGTAGTAGGGTTAGGAGGTTCAGCCATCTAAACCTCAATCATAAATATTCGCAAGCGCTTATCCGAAATCGCGGCCACCCGCCGCCATCTGTCTCGTTAAGTATCGAAAGCAGATCATTACTACTCAAAGAAACGTCTTGGCTAGCGATAGAAGCCTGTTAAACACATATTTAATAATCGAGAATAGTTTAGGGAGCTGTGAGCTTGGACCAATCATTCCCAATACGCTCCCCGAACGTGCTGACGTGAGCTCAAGCGACGGAAAAAATAATCTCCCCGGAACGCTCTATTTTCGTACCGAAGCAAAATGCGCAAGTCCTCTTATGCTGCTTTGATGCTATGACACGATAAACCTTCAAACAAAGAAGAACAAACCCAATATTGTAAAATATGGTTTTACTTTCATCTATCAGCACTTATAAAAGTAAGTTAAAACACACATTTACTCATCTAATATAAGAATATAAATCACATAATACAATTCATTGTAACGTGTTATTTCATCTTAACTTATAAGGGTTGGCCTCGTAAACGTCCGTACACTTACTACATAACGATAGCAATATCGACGGACATAAAGCCCTTCGCTCGGTCGCAGATAAAGATAGCTCCGCGGAGCCTAAAGTATTCAGAGCTAGAGTAAAGAATAGATAAAAATTAAACCCAACACAATGTAACCCTATCAATATGTTCGATTAAGCTGACATATTTTTACCCCCTCATTAATTCAAGATGAAACAAATCATAAATGTGACATTAAGCCTTTCAAAACTATATGCAATACTTTCATACAAAATTATTCATCCAACTGAAAGAATTAATATAGACCAATTACATATCCTAACAGGGTCAAAACGATATTCAGGACAGGGTATCAATACTTTTCAAATCCATGATACATATCAGCAAAATCTCGCCATGACAAAGGCCTTCCAGTTCTCTAAAATTGAAGTCGAAATCGCAACCATAATAATGTAATAGAACAAGGTGAATAAACCAAACAAACCAAACCGCACATAGAAATAGTTG